AAAATCACAGTATCTGCAAAGCACGATCAAGCGAGACACAGTCAAACAAGATATGCCCGTCTTGGCTTTGTCCGTCCTCTAGAAAGAATCTCTGCAAGCCCAGCATTGGTTGCCTCTGAAGGCAAATAATGCCAATCCATTCAGCTCTTTGCATGGCTTCCGATTGGTTTTCATGGCTAAGACTGCTTCTAGGTGGGGACAAGAAGGAGTGGGGACAAAACGAAGATTGTGAACAGACATAGGTTCCCTCACTTCAGGGAAGGAGATGATACTCAGTATGCTGTTCAAATACAGAAGAAGAGGGGAGTCTGAGTGGCTCAGCTGGTTGAGCGTCCGACTTCGACTCAGGTCATGATCTTGAGGTGTGTGAGTTCGAGCCCCGCGTCGGGCTCTGGGCTGACAGCTCAGAGCCTGGAGCCTGTTTCGGATTCTGTGTCTCCCTCTCTCTCTGCCCCTCCCCCACTCATGCTCTGTCTCTGTCTCAAAAATAAATAAACGTTAAAAAAAATACCGAAGAAGACAGAGGCTCTCTGCCGTTTGCTAAAGGACGGTGTACTTTCCTAGCAGAATCTGATAAATGGGTGTGTGGGTACGGAGCACATGCTCGGGTGTCTGTCATTGGCAACGTCTTGAAAATGACAGGTCGGGATCGACCATGCGCCTGGGAAGCCCGGTCACTGGGTCAGCACGCAGTCCCCCAGTGGGAGGCTCCAGCATGGCTGGGGGGAGGTACTCTTTGCCTGTCCCTTCAGATCTTCGGGCTGCGGCTCCCAGTGCCCACAGGCTTGGAAAAGCCTGGATTCAGGGTCCAGCTCCCACACTGACTGCGGGTGTGGCTGTGGACCTGACAGAGGCTCTGTTTCCTCCACGGTGGAAGTGAGACCGGGAGGGGTGTGTAATTCATAGCACGGATGGCGAGTGCGGCAGGCGTGCGTGTGACGAGATGTTCACGCTGCCTGCTTCTCGGGCTGCAGTGGCCGGGATCCAACAGGCCAGCCTGGCTCTCCGTCTTCCCGCACCTGAGCCTCAGCAGAGTGCAGAGCGAACACCGTGCCTCCGCCCTCCGCCTCCCCTCCCGGTGCTCAGCCCCAGGACCCATCCCCGCGCACGGAACCGCTGCACCCGGCCTGGGCTGTGGGGCCAGGGTTGCAAGAAGACGGGGCTCCCACCGTAGGTGCGGTGCCCCACGCTGGATTCACGTGTGCAGCTCTGTGTCCACGTGTCAGCCTCTCCAGCAGGTTGTGCACACAGCCTGGAAAACCGAACTGATGTCGAAGACCCATGAAAAGACAGGGCCCAAACTCCCAAGGATGGCAAAAGCGGGATTATGACGTGACGCACAGCAGGTGACGTGAGGGGAAAGGGCTGAAATTAACGGGGCCCTTGAATGAACCCGGGAGCATCCTGGCCGCCCTCGGTGCTCCTCTGTGGAGACTGACGTGGGAATGGAAGGGGCGGCCTGTCCCCGGGCCCTGCCTCCCTGAGGCTCCACGCCAGAGCCCCCTCCTCGGAAGCCCCCCGCCCCCCCGCCAGCCTTCCTGGCCCCTCACCCTCCTGCCTGCCTACCAGCTGCACAGCCTGACCAGCCCTTGACTAGAAGCTCCCTCACCCCGCAGGACGACTGCAGTCACGCCTTGCAGTTACTGGCATCCAGCCAGAGGAACCTTTATTGCTGGCTCTAAATCGAGGGCCGCGGTGGCCTCCACGCCCCGGGAAGCAGGGCGGCCGGAGTCCACGGCAGCCTCCCAAGGGCCGCGGGTTCTAGTCCCGTTGGCGAACCGATGATGCATAAACCTGAGTGAGCCGTGAGCCCCTTCGTGGCCGGGGCGGGGGGACTCTGCCAGTGCCGTCGGGGAAACGGTCATCCAAGGACACGAAGAGTCTTGCTTCCAGACGAGGAAGGCAGATGTGTCCGTCACCCTGAGTTGTGGAGGGCGCCTTGGGGTTTGGCCGAATCCTGCTAGGAAGCGTCTGCTGTGCCGTTGCCCAGGTTATTATTCTGCAGAGGCCTGAAGCTGCTCACCACGCCTCCCCAGTGCAGCACAGGCGGGCCCCGGCTTCCTCCTTCGGCACCTGTCATGCCCCCTCCCTGCTTGATGTGCTAGAAACCCGAGCGACGGGGAGAAGAGCTTCAGATGCTAGTTTCGCACTCACTGCTCACTGGGAAAGCGTGGGAACCACGAATGCGGCCTCAAGTGTGAGGGGACCCGCGGGGGGCCGAGCTGCAGACCCTCAACGGCTCGGTGCCCATGCTGACTTCCTATCCCTCTCGGCCCCCGCACCCTCCACCCCCTCTCTCCACTAGGCCCTCTTCACTCCTCCGGGGCGGACCACACAGACCCCACCATCGCGGGCTGCAGGTGCAGCCCTGCACGTCAGCCCCGGCCACCGCACAGCGATGCCCAGGCCGGCGTCACTATTGATGTGAAGGTGACACTTGTCATGGATGATGGCCGCACCTCCTAATGCATTTATGTAACCCTTCCTGCTTGGGTTGCACTTATTCCCAGGGCTTCAGCAGCCATAAAATGGTTCCTTTCCCAAGACAGAGTTCATTCGATTTAAATCCGGATTGATTGTGGCTAAACTTACTACATGTCTTCACTGAGGAAGGAAGAGACAGCCATGAATTATGCACGGAAATTATTCAGCATGTCTTCACCACCACCCCCCTGCCCCCCCGCCTCCCGTGCCGCAGGCTCAGCGCACCGCAGTTGGGGGAGGGATCCCTGGCCTTGAGACTCAGCACCTACTTGCCCAGGTGGAAAGCCTCTTGGGGCACCTCAGTGCCCTTTAACTCCTTCTTCGAGGGGTCCCCCGGCCACGTGGCCGGATGTCAGCTGACCTCGCGCCATTTGGGGGACCCTCCATCCACTGTGAGCTTCTTTGGTTTCCCGCTGATGCGTCCTCCGGACAACAGCCTTGGCCTCTGCCCCCAAAGAGCACGTGAACTGCTCCTCAGGCCCTTGGGGTTTAAAGAATAAGACCCCGGGGGGGGGGGCTGGAGTCCGGACTCTGTGGGACTCCTCCCACACGCCCCCGGCCGGTGACAGGAGCACGGTGACGTGGTGTGGGGGCCAGTATGTTCGGAGGACTTCCTCCTTCCTGCGATCTTGGGCCAAGCCAGCTGCGGCCGTGGCCGCCAGCCCGCGGTTTGGACGCCAAGCACCTGGAAGCTCACGTGGATTTTTGAGGACGTTCACTGTAACTCACGTGACCCAGTGATGGAACTTTAATTCAAGTAAACGTTCGTGACTAAACTGTGAGAATTTAGGGCGATGCTCTTAATTCATGGAGGTCCCAGTAACCACACCCCCTTAGCAATCATTTACCCAGAGCCACGACCAAAAGAGAGATAGAGGAGAAAGGCTTGAGCCTTTTTTTTTTTTTAACCTTGACTTTTGAGCCTTTGACTTTAAAGGGAAGGATGGAGGGAAACGGGAAGCGAGTCAGGATGAATAAGGAGAAGCGAGTGCCGGGGACCCTAGATTCAGTCCTTGGACCATTGCTGTGAAATAGGCAATGTTGTGCTGCGGCAGCCGAGGCTGCCAGCACGTAGGTCACTTTCCAGCTACCAGGACGCACAGTCAGCGCGGTTCGTGCAGAGCCCGGCCCTTAACCACCGTGCTGTACTGCCCTCCAGGATCCGGTGCGAAATACGCATCCGGTGCGGCCCGAAGACGCCATTTTCTTTGATGTTTTCGTTGATCTTGGAGTTAAAATGAAGCCAAAACCTTTCCCTGCGTTACACTTCCTTGTAAGATTTCATTACCAGCTAAATATACTACAGCGGTTGTCCTAATGCGTGTCTGATAAAATTCAGGTCATATATACATAGTGGTTTCTTTACAATCAGGAGGGGATCTATTTTGTTGTTAAGGTAAAGGCAGTTATCTTAGATGGCTGAACATTTCATTTTATTTCCTCAGAAAAAAAAAATTTTTTTTACATTAAAAAAAAAGATGCAGTGATGGGGCACCTGGGTGGCTCAGTCGGTGAAGCGTCTGACTTCGGCTCAGGTCATGATCTCACAGCTTGTGAGTTCAAGCCCCACGCCGGGCTCTGTGCTGACAGTTTAGAGCCTGGAGCTGCTTCGGATTCTGTGTCTCCCTCTCTCTCTGCCCCTTCCCCACTCACGCTCCATCTCTCTCTCTCTCTCTCTCTGTCTCTGCCTCTCTCAAAAATAAATAAACATTGGGGCGCCTGGGTGGCGCAGTCGGTTAAGCGTCCGACTTCAGCCAGGTCACGATCTCGCGGTCCGTGAGTTCGAGCCCCACGTCAGGCTCTGGGCTGATGGCTCAGAGCCTGGAGCCTGTTTCCGATTCTGTGTCTCCCTCTCTCTCTGCCCCTCCCCCGTTCATGCTCTGTCTCTCTCTGTCCCAAAAATAAAAAAATAAACGTTGAAAAAAAAATTTACAAAAAAAAAATAAATAAACATTAAAAAAATTTTTTTTTAAAAAAGGGGGTACCTGGGTGGCTCAGTCGGTTGAGTGTCCAGCTTCGGCTCAGGTCATGATCTCGCGGCCTGTGAGTTGGAGCCTCATTTCGGGCTCTGTGCTGACAGCCTGGAGCCTGGAGCCTGCTTCGGATTCTCTGTCTCCCTCTCTCTCTGCCCCTCCCCAACTTGCACTCTGTCTCTCTCTCTCTCAAGAATAAACACACGTTAGGACAAAAAACTTTTTTAAGATGCCAAGAAACTTGAATCAAGGTAAAGATTGAGCCCAAGTTTCCGGAATCTTTTTGTTTTCTTCTTCGTTGTCGTTGATCATTCTATTTATTGTTATTACTATCATTGCAGGGCAGATTGGATCAAAAGAGAATTAGATTTTCCCCCTTCAGTGTGTGGGCTGATAACTGAGATCCCGAGGGCAGATTTGATCCCTGGAGTGAGGCTGTCCTGTCCTGGCAGAACCTTCCGGCCCCTTGCCCAGAAATGCCTGCCGAGAGGGTGCTTGCTGAGGGCGGTCTGCCGCCTCACATGGTGCCTGTGTCTCTTACAGTTGACCTGGACAGGCTCAATGACGAGGTCAAGCGCTACAGCTGCACCCCCAGGAATTACTCCATCAACTTACGAGAGGAGCTGAAGCTGACCAACGTGGTTTTCTTTCCACGCTGCCTCCTCGTGCAGCGCTGTGGCGGTAACTGTGGCTGTGGGACCGTCAGCTGGAAGTCCTGCTCCTGCAATTCAGGGAAAACTGTGAAGAAGTATCATGAGGTGAGTCGCCGTCAACCGTCTTTGTTGTAGTCCTGCAACACTACCACACGGAAGCTCTTTGCAGCTGCAAATGTGATGCAGGCTCCAGGGTGCACACAGTTGTTGGGGTTGTTCCCTGCACAAGGGCACCCAGCCGGAGGGACGACGGGGAGCTGAAATTAGACGTGTGCTAACCTTGCCAAGCCACGTGCCTTGGGGCGGGGCTAAGTCATTCCTGAAGAAGGGACTCTTTTTCCTAATCACATAATACCACCTGTGGGCGACAGCCCCCTTGGTAGATTATGTAATCAAATGTATGATGCCGTGAGGCACAGCTTAACTAGCCCCCTTGTAGTGATATGGTGGTATTCCTAAAGGCCATAACTGAAAACTCCAGGCCGCTTTAAGAAAATTCTAAGGAATTGTGGTTTATATACACAATGGAGTACTACGTGGCAATGAGAAAGAACGAAATATGGCCCTTTGTAGCAACGTGGATGGAACTGGAGAGTGTGATGCTAAGTGAAATAAGCCATACAGAGAAAGACAGATACCATATGGTTTCACTCTTATGTGGATCCTGAGACACTTAACAGGAACCCATGGGGGAGGGGAAGGGAAAAAAAAAAAAAAAGAGGTTAGAGTGGGAGAGAGCCAAAGCATAAGAGACTGTTGAGAACTGAGAACAAACTAAGGGTTGATGGGGGGTGGGAGGGAGGAGAGGGTGGGTGATGGGTATTGAGGAGGGCACATTTTGGGACGAGCACTGGGTGTTGTATGGAAACCAATTTGACAATCAGTTTCATATATTAAAAAAAAAAAGTTCTAAGGGCCAAACTTGAAGTCAATCAAGTCATTAAAAAATTAAGCAGAGATAGGTGTCCCTGGGTGGCTCAGTCAGTTAAGCATCCGACTCTTGATTTCAGCTCAGGTCATGATCTCACAGTTCGTGAGTTCGATGCTTGGGATTCTCTCTCTGCCCCTGCCCCAGTCTCTCGGTCTCAAAGTAAATAAATAAACTTTAAAAAATTAGGCAGAGTAGGGGCTGCTGGGTGGCTCAGTGGGTTGAGCATCCGACTTCAGTTCAGGTCACCATCTCACGGCTGGTGAGTTCGAGCCCCGTGTCGGGCTCTGTGCTGACAGCTCGGACCCTGGAGCCCGCTTCGGATTCTGTGTCTCCCTCTCTCTCTGCCCGTAACCCACTCGCATTCTGTCTCTGTCTCTCTCAAAAATAAATAGACTTTAAAAAAAGCAATTTAAAAGATTAGGCAGAGTGAGGACAACAAAACGTAAACTGGCAGAAAACATATATAGTTAGAGGCTTCTCAATTCTCTAAGTATGATAATACCTTTCTTGTAAAAATACCAGTTTTTCCTGACTGCTGCTGGGTGCTCCCTGGGGCGTCAGCTCTGAAAGGAGGCAACAGTGAACAAAAAGTAAATATGAGGGTAAAAGAGGGAGCAAACCTTTAAGGAGAGCCGAGTCTGTGTTCCTGTCCCTCGTGCACTGTGCTTTTTCCTGTTAAACATACGGCTCCTGACTGAGCATCAGAGTAAGAGCAGGCTTGGGGGGAGTTGGCGGTCCTGACCGTGGCGGTGCCCGGTTTCCCCCCCAGTCGTGGGGACCCACATCACCAAGCGTAGAGACTCAAGCGTTCACATGTGTGCCGCGCGACGAGGAAACCTATCAGATAACCACTTACAGGGTGGTTCGCAGCACGCAGGAAACGCACCTTGGAAGACGCCAAACATCACGCAGGAATCTGAGAACGGAAACAACGCAGCAGACGTTATTCTTAGACATTATTGTTTGAGCTACTTTTCCCCGGTACCCAGCCAAACAAAGGAGTCGAGGGTGGTCCCTAAATAAAACGTCCAGCTTTGTGAAGCTGTTTCTTTTTTCTCCTGCCCCCACAGCAAACAATAAGAGCAGGTCGAAGGAGGCAGCCTCTGAGCTAAATGAAAACGGCTGCGTCATCCGTGGTATTTCCGACTTGGGAAGTGCAGGAAGTCAGCTGTCACAGTGACCGTGCTTACCTCAGGAGGGAAACACATTAGTTGAGACCCACACAGAGCCGTTTCCTTAGGCGTAAGAATTTCTCACTCCACCCTGCAGTTTTCACGGGGGAAAATAATGTCCTCATGGCCAGAGAACGCTACGGTCCGTGTTCTTTGTGTTTTATTTTTGTATGACCCGGTGAAGTCCAGATTGGACGTTGTCCTTTGCATCTCAGAACTTTGTAATGTTTAGGCACACCCTGAGGGTCCATGCAGAATGCAGTCATCAGAACAGAGTTAAAATAATCTAGCAGGTGACACGACGTCTCTGCAGACATCATGCCACGGAAGAAGTGTCGCGTCCAGGCCCTTGATCTATCTGTAGAGTGCTTTATTTCCTTCTGGACTCTGCTCAGATAGAAGGTACAGCTTCATTGTTTAAGTGGTTTATGGCAGAAATGGCAGAGTTAAACATATGCCGCCCCCCCCCCCCGCCCCCAAACCCCTCACCTCCCAGACAGTTCACACTGTAGAACTCTGAAGGGTCCTTCTCGCCTTCTCTTCTTGTCTCCGTCCCCGGGAGCCATTACCTGTACATTTCTGTGCACAGTTAACACTGAGAAAGGGAAGCCCTTGGTTCTCTGCCCATCACGTGAGTGGGTCTAAGATGTCAGCATCTCTGAAACCTCGTCTCCTAGTGTTTTGACATCCGGGAGTCTGCAGAGCTCTAGACAAAATCGCTCTGCCAAGCGCCGGACCAAGGGACCAAACAGCATCAGTCACTCACTCGGCCACTGCACAGCCAGAGCCAAGGTACCTGGCGTGTTGCCCTGGGCTCCTAAAACACCCTTGAGATGTGTCCCCGTGACCACTCTGTGGGCTGCACCGTGGAAGAGAGGAGAGGCTGGCTCCCTTTCCAGACACGGGGGTTGCTTGAGCGGGGATCTTTAGGGGAAAATCCATGTTCTTGTTCTCTTCTGTGACTGTGTTCTTACCCCAGAAAAAGCCAGGGTCCCTACCTTCTGCTGGTAACCGATGAGATGTGAAATGAGTTTCTGTGGGGCACGAACTGCCTTACGGGGGCAACTGGAACCCATCGCATGAGCAGAACTGTGAGACTCTGCACAGATATTTCAGCACTCGGCGTTTAGGGAATAAAATCTGAATAATTATGAAGCCCCTAATGGAGCTGATATAATTGCTCTTTCCACGGGTCATGCTGTTTCTCCGGAGCATTCTTCTCTGTGCGATGCAGTGTTACCTTCTGTATGACTTTCTGTTCTCAAAAGTACTTGTAAGTATCCTGTTAAGGTGTTTTTCCTTTTTTGCTAATAGTAGGTCCTTTATGCCTCTTGGAATGTATAAGATACAAAAGATAACTTTGAGGTGGTAGTTTTTTCAAAAGGGAAGGTTCCAGAAAACATATTGTGTAGACAGTGAGATGATGTTATTTCAGTTCTCATCTGCCTTGATAATGTGCATGAAGGGATAGGATCTTCTCTAGAAATACAGTGCCTTTTAAAACATTGTTTAATGTTTATTTTTGAGAGAGAGAGAG